TTCCTGTCACTTGGCACGTCCTGATTGGTTGAAACAACCAGCAGGGGTGTAGTTTTAGTGATGTCAGAAGGTTATTAGAAGTCAACAGACAGCAGAAATGTTTTAAGAATGGTTAGTACAAACAGAGAAATATTTTGAAGAAGTGAGAGAAAGCAGGTGCCAGCCAGTTCTTATTTACTGTCTGAGAGTTTTAAAAACAAGGCACTTCGTTCTCATAACTTGTCTCTGACTTTCGACTGACATCAGGTCCACTCCTCACACAGACAGAAGAGTGAATGCACTCTTACTTCGTAAATAGACATTTAACTTGTATGATTCATGAAGTCTAATGAGGTTTAAAAATCATTATTACTGTTTCACAGTTGATTTAAATGAGTGGTTCCCTTCAATATTAGAAATGGTATGAAATAAACACACTTTTGATTATCAAGATATTTTAAAATAGTTAATGATAATATAAAAAAGAAGAGTGTTCTTTCAATTGATTAATTCGGGATACAATTAAATAGCCTCTTGATGAGCTAATTTGTATTTCTGGATTCAAATCAATGAAATAACAGTTCCTGTCCCCTGAAGGTCCTCATAGACAGATTAATGTCGGAGGCCTAGTTCACTACAAACTCATGACCCATCCATCCCACCTCAATCTGTAGCTCCTTTTGACCATTTTGAACCCATCACTCTATCTTCTCTAGAGCAGGTCATGTGCAACTTGAAACCTTCTGGCTCCCCCTTTGATGTGGTCCCCCCTCGACTACTAAAGGAGGTTTTTCCCACTCTAGGTCCGTCCATTCTTGATATAGTAAACAGTAGTTTATCCACTGGCGTGGTGCCAAAATCCTTTAAACAAGCTGTTGTCCAGCCTCTCCTGAAAAAACCAAACCTTGACCCCTCAGTCATTTCCAACTACCGGCCTGTCTCCAAACTCCCATTTGTTTCTAAAGTACTGGAGAAAATAGTCGAGTCCCAGTTGAAGTGCTTCCTGGAGGATCACGCCATCTTAGAGCTTTTCCAATCTGGCTTTAAACCTCTCCACAGCACTGAAACTGCCCTGCTGAAGGTCTTTAACGACATCTTCAGATTCACAGATACCGGTGATTCTGTGCTTCTTGTCCTGTTGGACCTCACAGCCGCCTTTGACACCATCGACCATGAGATCCTCATTGCTAGGTTGGAGCAGTGGGTGGGCGTCACAGGATCAGCCTCAATTGGTTCAGATCTTACCTCAATAACAGATCATTTTGTGTCTCCATCAAGGATTTTAGTTCCGCAGAGGCAGAGTTTAAATGGGGGGTTCCGCAGGGGTCCATCCTGGGTCCCCTCCTATTCTCTTTATACCTGCTGCCGCTTGGTGATATTTTCCGGAAACACAACATGCCCTTCCACTTCTATGCCGATGACTGTCAAATTTACTTCCCCCTAAGACACAATGGTATATGCTCTATTCAACTGCTGTTCAACTGCCTGGCTGACATCAGGGACTGGATGGCTTTAAATTTCTTGAGTTTCAAAGAAAAGAAGTCTGAAGTCATGTTGTTCCCTCCCAACGACATGATCACAAACCACTGCATCAATCTCTCCGCTCTAACTCTGTCAGAAAAACAAAGAGTCACTAATCTGGGCATGATAATGGACCCTTCCCTGAACCTTAACAATCATGTAAACATGATTGTTAAATCATGCTTCTTCCAACTGAGGCGGCTGTCTAAACTGAAGCCCATATTGTTAAAAAATAACCTGGAGACAGTAATACATGCATTCATTACATCTAGGCTTGATTACTGCAATTCGCTCTTGTTTGGTATCAGTCAGACCTCCATTGCACGACTACAACTGGTCCAGAATGTAGCAGCCCGATTTTTAACCAGTACAGGCAAAAGAGAGCACATTCCACCAGTTTTGGCCTCATTGCACTGGTTACCGGTTCACTTTCGAATCCAGTTCAAAATACTCATGTATGTCTACAAATCACTGAACAGTGTCGCCCCCCATCTCTCTGATTTGCTACAACCATATGTCCCACCACGCTCCCTGAGGTCAGCGGACCAGTTGCTCCTCACAGTTGCAGGATCTCGTCTTAAGCGCAGAGGTGACAGGGCCTTCTCTGTAGCAGGACCAAGACTCTGGAACGAGTTACCTCTGTTTGTCAGACAGGCTCCCTCCCTATTGGTTTTCAAGTCCCATTTAAAAACTCACTACTATTCAGTAGCTTTCAACACCAGATGATCTGTGTTTTGAACCTGTACGTTCCACACTGGTTTGTCGTCAATATCTGCATTGTTTTTATGTCTACATTCTGATTTACCTCATTTTGTATTTTGCTTTGTGTGTTACCTGATTTTTTGTCTGTACAGCACTTTGGTTGGCTTTGTAGCTGTTTTCAGTGTTTAATAAATAAAGTGGTATGGTATGTCTGCGGCTGTTCAGGCACTCCTGGCTGATTGTCGCTGCTGGAGTTTGGTGGCTTCTTTGGTTTGGGGGCTGGGTGTTGAGCTGGGGATCGGATTCGGCGTCTGGATGGTCTGGGGGGGGGGGGGGGGGGGGGGGGGGGGGGGGGGGGGGCTTGGGTTGCTGGCCTGGGTTCTTGTCGATCCTTGAGGCTATGTGCTGGTCCGTGGCCTGGGTCCCTGGTGATGTGGCTGCCTCCTGCTCCTAGATGGATGCACTCGAGCCTCCCTCCCCTGGTGGATCTCGGAGAATGGGGGTGCCTGTTGGGGTCAGTGGGGGAGTTGGCCCCCTGGGAGGGCATTGCCACCTTAGTTGTTCCTCCCTATCCCGACGTCTTCCTCCACTCACTCCATCACATCACCACTCAAGCAGGGCCTCTGGGTTCAGGTGCACTACTGAGCTGCGGGGAGGATCCTCCGTCTCTGTGGTTCGTGGAGACCTGGGCCCCAATTTTATCAAACAACCTAGATACTCTCATATAACATTCTCACGACACATGCATATATATGGTCTGGAGTGGGCACACGGTGGCATATAGGGGGTGGGATGTGTAATTATTCTCACCTCCGGGACCTGTGCCCACTCTCATATGTAGCATGTAGACATTTAGGGTTCTGGGCAAGGGTTGGGGGGGGGGGGGGCACGGGCACTGCCTGCACTCTGGGGTGGGGGTGTGCCAGTCGCCGCCTCATCCCCCCATTTTAAACACACTATGTAACAACATGTGTCAACATCTTATTTGAGTGGGGGGAGGGAGGAGTTGGGTCTTCCAGTTTTCCTTAAACCCTCATTCTCCATCTGACATTTGGGGTCCGGGCGAGGGGGGTAGGCTGCCTGGTTGGGGTCTGGGCTGTGGGTGGGTATTGGGCCTTTGGGGGTGATTGGGGTGGGGCTGGTGCTCCGGTTCTCCATGGATTGTTTGGATCCTTTGATCGGGGTTCCTGGTTCCAATGGCCAGTCCTTTGGCTGAGGTGGCTGCCGGGTTCTGGCGGGAGGTCGGCTGTGGTTGTGTGTGTGTGGTCGTTGGTAGTGCGTGGCGGTGGTCGGGGGTGTGGCTTCACTTCGACGGAGTGCTGGCTGGTCGGTCTGATGTGACATTCACGGTTCGGGGTGCTGTGTGTGTGTGTGTGTGGGGGTGGGGGGGTGGGGGGTGCATGGGTGGCATGCTGGGGCTTCTCCGGGCCTGTGGTGTGGGGCTTTAGGGATACATTGGTGCACTGGGCCGGCCTTCCTCAGCTGCTGCTCCCTGCTGCTCTGGCCCCCGGCCTGGGGATGACTTGCAGTCACTGTTGGGCAGGTAGGGCGCATGGACGGCCCAACAGAGGCTCTGTCGGGCTGTCTCTGTGTGCCTGTTGGTCTCAGGTTGGGTTTTGGTGCCCCCCCTCTCTTGGACCAGTTTTGGCCCCCCATTTGGTGGGTCGTGCTCCCCTCCGGTGGTGGGCCCCCCTGCCGCCAGTGCATTGGTGGCTCTCAGCAGCTGGGGCTGGGTGGTGGGGTGTGTGCGGGCCCACCCTGGTGGCTGCCTGCGGGGGCCTGGGTGCCCTGGCTCTGTTGGGCCTCTGTTGGGGGGTGGTATGACCTCGGGACTTGGGGCTTGGTGTCCATGGCCGGATTCACTCTGGAGGAGTGGGTTGCTGGCGGGGCCTGTTGACTCGTTGCTACAGCCTCCTGGGGGTTTCTGCATTGTGGTTGCTGGGGATCGCCCAGGGCTTCCCTTTGCTTCTCTCTCTGGGGGGTGCGGGTGTCCCTGTTGGGGGACTACTGGAGTTCCGGGCTTGGGGAGCCGCTGTGTGTCTGTGGTTCCGGTCTTCCCTGTGTTATCTTCGTGTCCTGTGGGGACGGGTTTATGGGTCCCCACACCCACTATTGAACATTTTTATTAGAAACCTTATAATGATAAGCATGCTCACACAGGTGTTTAGATTCAGGTGTTTATCAGATACACACTCAGTTGGGTTGTGGTGGCCATCAAATATATATTGTATTACCATGTACTGTATAAAATACTTTCTAATGATGTTATGAGTATCATTATATAAGTTGTTTGTTGTTGTGGTTTCTTGGTTTTGTCTGTTTTTTTTTTTCTCTTTCCACAGGTCTCGAGGCAGACTTCAATGATGTTGATGTGTGTTCTCTTTATCCCTCTCTCTCTCTCCTCTATTCCTATCTCCTTCTTTACATTTTAACTCTTCTCACTTTTCTGCTTTATCTTCTTTGTTTTCCATCCCCGTGTCCATTACATTTGGAACAAACCCAAAGCATATTCTAATAAAATTTAATTTATTTATCAAGTGGAGCATTAAGGCCAGCCATAATGCTCTGCTTGTGAAAGTAAATCTGTTGGGCATCACTTTGACACTCAGACAATAATTCTAAGTGTAACAATGCCGGACAGGACAAGGGGAAAGGAAAAAAAAAAAAAAAAGAAACTGACTATGTTTATATCCTGATGCATGCTCAATAATCCAGATAGAAAAATCTAAAAAAGTTAAATCTGGTCCTCTGGACATTAAAAAAACTGACTATGACTATGTTTATCTTTGTCTGAACAGATGTGGACGCGTGTCTGGACAACAATGGGGGATGCCAGCAAGTATGCGTCAACACAATGGGAAGTTATGAGTGCCAGTGTACAGAGGGTTTTTTTCTCAGTGACAACCAGCACACCTGCATCCATCGCTCTGATGGTAAGACTGGGATGATTAAATCATTTAGCTTTCAAAGACTGTACTGTTACAAATAATCCAGCCACCACAATTTTCAGATGGGTGTGGCAATGAGATTAAATATTTTTTTCACAATACCCAAATTTAATATTCATACAAAATAATTAATTAGTAAGGTTCTTCTACAACAACATAAAACAGCAGAATAGCTTTTCATAGCAACAACAGCAAATGTATGTAACTGAAATAACAACAATGGAAAAAAGGAAAAGACTGACTTAGCAGTTGTTATAGTCTTGTACAACAATAGCAATAATTAGTGAATGTGTTTGTGTAACTGAGAATGGGATACTATAAATGAGGTGCAATTGCTTTTAACTTCAAATTTTGCACATCATTTGCACTGTCATCTGCTTTGCCTCTGCATCACAAACTGTTAGGGATATGTGAGCACAAACACTAAATATGACGCTTCACCACAAACACAGCAGGCGGGTAAAGTGTGGGTGACCTGTCCAAAATCACCACAAGTCAGTGCTATTACACTATGATCTATAACTCATGATTTTAAAATCCTCCATTTTTCACTATTTTAATGCTTAATTTAACACCATAATCTAATTAGAATCAAAGTCAGAATCAGAATAAGCTTTATTATCATTGCACCGAGATACAATGAGAACATGTACATGCAGTCGTGCGGAAGATGGACGGAGTGCACAAAGCTGCTATTATAATTAAGCGCGGCCTTTCTTATCCTTTTTCAGAATAATAATCTTAGATAGGAAAAGGGGGAGAAACATGAGGGTAGATAGTGGTATTACAAAAAAAGATCTTTCACATCTTGTCTATCAGGACACGATTTGAGACATCAAAAAACTCTACCAGCAGCACAATTTAAACATAATTACACATGCATTTGATGTTGCGATAGATGAAGCTTTTGTCCTTGGTTACCCATGACCCAGGAGAAATTTGATAGTCGGCCCGTCTCCAAGGCCGTCGGGGAGTCAGATTCAGATAAGCTTTGATTGTTGATTTTCTTCAGGCAAACGGAGTCCCAGAAGCCGCAGGTGGCCTGCGATTCTCATAAATCGCCTCCACCTTACGGTTTAGCTCGTAAATCAGCTGATTTTGAGAACTGCACGGATCTAACCTTCACACTGACTCGGAAGCTTTGTAATGGCCGAAACGGCTGCAGATGTCTTCTTCAATAGTCAATAAAACAGAGCCCCACCGATGCCAAAAAGCAGAGTCTCTGCTATCATAAATCCAAATATATAAACGTCTTCAACATCCTCCTGAGACAGGACTGAGAGGAACATCAGCTGCCACACTCCCCACGGGTCCATGACGTGCCGCACAGCGTGCGTCTCAGCTGGACACGCAGGCTCTCCGGGACCTTGTTGTTTTGTTGAAAAAATTTTGTCGATAGCATTGAATGTCCAAGATACCAGATCTATAATCTTAATTTACGTTTGGGAGATGTGTACCAGAAACTTCAGACATACAGAGAACGAAGCAGGGTTTGAAAAAAAAAACGGGATAGGAAAGACGAGCAGCCACATCAAGCGAGAGAGAGAGAGAAAAATAAAATGCAGTGGTGAACTGCGATTTGACCCTTGTTCCATTTTTTGAATAAGACCCACCCTACTAATATAAATTCTCTAATATAATTCAACTGATGAGGGACTTCTAATCAGTCTAACTTCAGAGCAAAAAGACAGAAATGAAGATGTAGTCTAGTCAGAAGTTGATAAGTGACAACTTGAGATATCAGACTTAAAAGCTATGGCTCATTTTCTTGCAAAACATTTTTTTAACTGCATCATCCCATTATGTATGTATGTGTGTGTATATATATATATATATATATATATATATATATATATATATATATATATATATATATATATCCATCCATCCATCCATTATCTTTACCCGCTTATTCCATTTTGGGTCACGGGGGTCGCTGGTGCCCATGTCCAGCAATCACTGTGCGAGGGGCGGGGTACACCCTGGACGGGTCGCAAGTCCATCACAGGGCCACATAGAGACAAACAAGACAAACAAACATTTACTCTCTCACTCACACCTAGGGACAATTTAGAGTTACCAATCAGCCTAACATGCATGTTTTTGTTCTGTGGGAGGAAACCGGAGCACCCGGAGAAAACCCACGCATGCACGGAGAGAACATGCAAACTCCACCCAGAAAGGCCCCTGGACCGGGGATTGAACCAATGACCTGCTCGCTGAGAGGCAGCAGCTCTACCAGTTG